ACAACTTTATTTTCATTACCTAACGTTGACATAAATAAATACTGTAATACATGTATTGTTCATTGTTTGTTTATGTAAGTAAATTTAATGCAAAGTGTTACCTAGTTTTTACTCATTTAAAAAATCATGTTTGTTTTATCCTTGTTTTTATGTCCAGCCTCATCTTCCTGTAGCGGGAGATGCAATGAGGTGTACAACACACTCAATCGCTGCAACTGCAATGCCAACTGCGCTACAAAATGCTGCACGGATTACAAACAGCGTTGTGCCAGTAAGTCCAAACACATCCCCTGCTAACAAGCTTGTGCTGATCCATGATGGGCCAAAAATTGAGCCTTCAATAGGCTGCAACTGCAGGGCCATTGAGAGTTTGCTCATTTGCAAACCATTGGCCCCTTAGCGCTTTTCCTGGATGGGCAGCCCTCACCTAACCACCAGTAGCCCTCACTGTACTATAACAATAAATGTGCTACAGTATAAATACTTTTTAGTTCAGTCTTTATACATGCAGATCTTTTAAATGCCATTCCAGCCTGTGTAGTATTATTTATGCCATAGACCAGTTAATCCATATATAATGTTCAGCATCAACAGCAAGTAACAAAGTTTAAAATGGATCGAATTTTAGTTAGATTTGTAAGAGGTTAATAAAAAATTACATAACTGTGGTAGGAAAGCAGTATTCACAAACATTCACTGGGCTTGAAAGCAACAAAATAAAACATGAAATTTAGTCTGTTAATAGCAAACATTGTGGGTCTAGTGATTGGTCCTGGGTGCTAGGAGATGGCTGCCCATGCAGCGCCAGCACTAAAAGGCCAACATTTTGCCTTAATTTGGGCTGCCCATTAGTGTCCATTACTCACATAGAACGCGTAATGAGCCTGCAGCTGTGGGCCAATATTGGGCTAGCCCACTCTTTGCATGTTTATATTTGATGTGGACAGCCACGAAAAGCCACCATGGCCCCCACAAGAGTATGTTTCCCGGGTCTATTTCAATAACAAAGAAAAAAATAGATACTTCATTTACATTGTTGCATGTTGTTGTTATTAATTTTGAATGAAGTATTAATGTTTGTTGTATGTGTGTCTCTGCAGGTTAAGATACCTCCATGGATTCAAAACAGCCTCGTAATCGTATCACTTGTGAATAAGACTTTTACCTGCCTGTTTGTCCAGAAGACTTCAGTGCTGCTTTTAAAATGTTGCACAGTCAGAATTTCAGTGGAAACAGCCTTTCAAAGAGCTGCTTCACTCACTTCACTCAGGGGTGTACATTCATATTTCTTTATGTTTGAAATAATTTGAACACTTTCCCCTCTCTATTAGTTGAGAGTGATTTCTCTCTCTTGATCTTGTCAACGTTTATTTTTTAAATTAGCATTCTGGGTATATTAAAATGATACTTTAAATTTTTTTTTTTACAAATTTCTTTCACAATACATTTCCGTTGCCAAATGAGTGGCCATTTCTCCAAATTTAAATAAATGTCACAATTCTGTGCCATAAGTAATGATTTAATAATGGCTTTGACACAATCATTAAATAACCCCAAAACACCCTGTCTTTTCATGCTTTTTGCAGAAATAAATTTTTCCAACAGTGGGCTTTTGAATGAAACATGTTCTGTATCCAAAGCACAAACTGCACACTTCAATGTCATTAAAACTGTCATTGTGTTCCAAACATAAGACACTTCGGAGTGAAAATAAACAAGACTAACATATTTAAGTCCTATTCTAAAAAAGAGGTTTCTGAAGGGTACAAACCAGGGCCTACATCTAACTTTTTGCCAAACATGCCAATAGCTGGTGGTGTAAAAAAAAACTGTACCCATTAAATTTGCAAAAACAGGCAGTTTGTACTACTACAGTAACTATATTTACAATGTTTTAGTTCATCACGGTTGAACATTAAAGAAAGTAATGAATAAAAATAAACATATTACTGGATTTGTTAACTTCATTAATTCTCTCCAGTTTCTATTAATGGTTAATTAATTCATGACTGAAAGCCAGAAAGTCAATCCAGCAATCTCTTGTTTTCACACACATTCTAATAACAATTCATCCCAGACAGGGCTCTTGACTCATGGATGCACAACTACTAAAAAACTATTATTTACATCTTTAAAAAAAGTTCAACCAGACATGGGTTACTATATTATTTATTTATTGGAATTGTTTATAAAAATACTGGTTGCCATATCTGCTTTTTCTAAAATCTTTATTTACTATTGTGTGTCTGGAAATGCTATTTCTCTATTAAACACTCTCCTAAAAAGCAAGGGTTTTCTGCTGTTCTCACTATAAAGACATGAACAGAGAATCCATCTCAAACTGACATTTTAGACAAAAAATTGCTTATGAGAATAATCAACAACAGGGGCATTTTAAACTCAGAAGCGTGGATTTGTCAGCAATACACAGTGAAAGTGAACTGAATTTAGGCCTCTCATGCTGTTTGAGAAACAAATTTCTCTCACTGGATACAGCTGTCAGTTCATTTAAACACCTCATGATGCTTGTGAAATCCAGGCAGATGCGATCCACTGAAAACAAAACAAAACATCCTGAATTATGACAATCAAAAGTAGTCGATTTACTTTCTAATTACGATCTGCTTTCATTCCCCCAAGTTTTTTAACATACACCTCATTCACTTGTTTATTCAGCATTCCATGCGTGCTCTTGATGAATGCAAACGCAAAATAAAAAGCACAGATAGGGAGGGGGGAATCAAACCTGAATTATCAGCAGGGCACTTACCTGCCAATTGGTGACTGATGCTGCTATAAATGTTTGCCAGTGCTCTGATTTACTCACATTTGCTGCTTGGCGAGTGTTAATTTTAGGCCCTGGGTAGAACCAATGGACACTTCAGGCACCCAAGAAGCTTTGTGCCGGAAAGCTGTTTGATGTGAATGACAACTGGATGCTCAGAGTTAAACTTTGCCTAAAAGTATATGTATAGTCTGTTCCCGTGCTTAATTTGTGAATTGCGAGGTCCCAGAACAGATCTGGGTAACGGATGTGTCTCGCACGAAAGAGAAGAACGGACATAAGTTAAGAGCCGTGGCGGGGGTTGGTTGTCGCGGACGAAAGTGAAGAGCGTTGGGGAGTCGCGGAACAAAGTGAAAGTGAACAGCAGACAGGGGAGGAGGGCGAGTGAGCAGGAAGATCTGTACAGGTGCTGGATCCAGATTTTGTGTGCTCCGGCACAAATTAAGTCCTGGTACTTTCTATAGGGGGTGTCACGGTGGTGCAGTGAGAAGCATGATTGCCTAGCAGCAAGAAGGTCGTTGGTTCAAGCGCAGGCTAGCTCAGTTGGCATTTCTGTGTAGAGTTTGCATGTTCTCCCTGTGTTCACGTGGGTTTCCTGTGGGTGCTCCGGTTTCCCCCTCAGTGACCGGTTTTCAACCCAGCGACCTTCTTGCTGTGAGGCAACAGCACTACCTACTGCGCCACTGCCTCGCCATTTCCTAATTTATATTTTTAATTTTCATAGCTTCCAAGAACCCAGAATAGTCCACATATTGATAATCTTATGATAGCAGCTTTAATGTTAAGTTACGACTGAATTCCTCTTGTTACAGTTATGAAACAGTTTGACAAGAAGTAAATGCTCATTGGCCAATGACATGAACAAACAAACAAAAAAATGTACTCATCGTTCAGAGCATGTTTTGTGGGTGTCAACTAGCAGACAAAAAATACAACACAAACTGATACTACACCTAGAAAAATATTAATAATAATATATAAATATTCTATACCATTTTTGATACTCTGAGGAACAAATAAAATTAAGGGCATTATTATTAACATTAAGGGCTCTATATTGATGATCCATGTGCAAAGTGCAAAGTGCAGGGCGCAAACGCATTAAGGGCGTGTCAAAATACACTTTTGCTAATATAAGGATGGAAAAACCCGCTTTGCGCTATGGCGCATGGTCTAAAAGGGTTGAACTTAATTTCTTAATGAGTTATCAGATTGGTATACCAATCGGAGCCTCATCTCCCATTCCCTTTAAGAGTCAGTTGCATCGCGCCATGGTGCATTTGCTATTTACATGCCGACTTTGTAAGTGGAAAAACTAAACGCTTCACTAGCAAGAAAACAGTTAAACAGCATCTGCAGCGCGAGAATGAGAGATAAGGCCTCCTCATTATCTACTTTTGCTTTTGCTCTCGTGGATAAGGAAACATTGTACGCACAGACATCAATTAGCCTATAAATAATTAATTTAGTTTGTTAAGCCCAAAGATTTGTTTCAAAACTTTTTCTAAATTCAGTTCTAATTTCCAGCAAATTAATAAATGAACAATAATAACGAAGTGTGGTCAAAAACTGAGTTAATTCCAGATACACATGCTGTGCCCCATATGGTCTAAAACCTGACAGGTGGACAAATCTATGCTTGTTTTTAATAAAACAAATATAAATATGGGTATAATAAATAATATTGCTAATAATAATAACAGTATACAAATGTTATTGCGCAAGGTATATGATAGGGCCCTTAGAGTATACAAATAAAATAGGAAATATATTGGAAAAAATAAACCTTTACATTTTTAAGTAAGATTAAATATTATACCAGGTGTGCCAGGGATCCTCAAAGGGATACTTCACCCAAAACGGAATTATTTTAAATACCTCAGTAATCAATATGTTTTTAAATAGTGATATATTTGACAACACTAATCTATATATCTAAAGAAAAGATACAATTTGTTAAATAAAAAAAAGTAATGTCTCTAACATCGACCTCATAAATATTTGCGTTTCATGTACCTGTTGAAATGTTCCGGCAACTAGTCAAGAACATCTTTAAACATAATTGCACATTAAAACTGGAGAACTGGTTGACATATTTGCATACTAAAGAAGGAATGTAAAGAATGACAATACAAAAAAGCAAGGAGGAGTTTTTTTGAAAATAAAATGGTCATGTGAGACGGTGACATAAGAAGTGATTTGAAAAAAAGCAAATGTATAAATGGAATTGTAGGAGACAAAGAGGTTGAGAGACTGCCACCAGTAGACATTCTGCAAGCAAACAGAGGGACTGTATGAAGATGTGGAGATTGACTTGTGCCACTTTGACCCTACTCATTTGTGTCAAAGGTAAGATCTGTCATCATTATACAACTATTAACCTGAGGGTAACAGTGTACATTGACATAATACAGATGAAGAGATAATTTACTTTAGTTTTTTGTGGCACAGCATAAGACCTAAAGCATAAGACCTAAAGTGTGATAAAATTTCAACTCATTAACATAAAACTTCCAGTTTAGTAAGGGAGCCATATTTAAATCATGTCTGATTCATTCTGGCCAGTAACTCCTGAGTTAGGTTTAATGAGTGAACTAATTCAGAACCATTAGATTGGAATTTTAACTATGCTGTTTTGTAATCTGAGTAATTAACAATTTGACCCTTATCAGACTGTTGTTGTTGTCATTTTTGTAAAGAGCAAGAAACATTTGCACCAATGCAAGTATATGCTAGGGCTGGGGGATTTGACCTAAAATCTAAATCTCGATTATTAATGCCATGTCCAAAATTCCATGACTTTTTCAGGTTTTCCATGATAGTATGAACCCTGCTTTTAATGTTTTACGTCTAGTGGGCATGTGGAGTGTGCATTCAGGACATGGGGCTTATTTGTTGTTATTTGTTGAAAGCCGCTAGCATGTATTACATGTACTGCAACCGGTTTGTCCAGAAATGTTTTCCGCATGTTCAGTCTCACAGATTAAATTTAGCGATGCAATGAACTGAAAGGATGAGGGAGTTCATCAAATTAAGATGAAACTTTTTTAATCTGCACTTTATTTCCTACCTTCCAGGTTCACTTTCTCAGTTGAATGGTAAGAGTTCTTCTAACTCTTCATATGTTGAAATCAAGCCAAAAAGCAGCAAAATGCAAAAATGCTAACATGAAAATGATTTTTCAGTTTGTGGACAAGCCCCTCTGAACACTCGCATTGTTGGGGGTGTAAATGCATCTCCGGGTTCATGGCCTTGGCAGGTCAGTCTGCACAGCCCTAAGTATGGAGGTCATTTTTGCGGAGGCTCCCTGATCAGCAGTGAATGGGTGCTGACCGCAGCTCACTGTTTATCTGGGTGAGATTCACATCAACACACACTCATCTGTTTTGTGTTGACCGCTAATGTACTAGGCTGGATAATTGTTTTGCTTTTTTCCTCACTTTCTCATTCTTGACTGTTTTCAGTGTCTCTGAAACCACTCTGGTTGTGTACTTGGGAAGGAGAACACAGCAGGGAATCAATATTTATGAAACTAGTAGAAATGTTGCCAAATCGTTCGTTCACTCCTCCTACAACAGCAACACAAATGACAATGACATCGCTCTGCTGCGCCTGTCCTCAGCTGTAACCTTCACTAACTATATCAGACCTGTTTGTCTGGCGGCCCAGAACAGTGTCTATAGTGCTGGCACCAGCAGCTGGATCACAGGCTGGGGAGATATTCAGGCTGGAGGTACAAAGTACAAACTTATTTACTCTACCCACCCAATACACCACTAGTTAAGTATAAGGCCATACTCACACTAGGTACAGTTGCCTCGAACCGGGCCAAAGCATGCTTGTCCCCTCTCCCATCTCCCCCGACGGCCCGCGCAGCACAGTGGAGATTTCTCTAGTTATATCGTTTCAGTCGTTTGATATGCCGTCAAATATTTCGCCAAACAGTCCTAAGGGATGCGGAGACATGCAGTCAGATATTTCGCCGAACAGATCCGCCACTTTTGGCGCTCATAAACAATCATAAAGCTCTCGTGCAGCAGGAATGAGGAGGTCTGCTGAAGCCGTGCAGCTGTCGTGAAGTAAGGAGTTTGCGTCTTTAATAAACGACGCCAGTTTGCGTTCACTGAACAGTAAGAATGATTAATAAATCCATATGAAACAGTCCCTTAAAAGTCACGTCTTGCTTTCAGTTTCGGGCTTTGGCACGTTTTGCACTCACGCACAAGCGTACCGCGCCAAAGCGTAAGTGAACCGAGCTCAGGCACACCTCTTCCAACCGGGCCAGGGCCGGCCAAGTGAACCGTGCTTGAGCCCGATTCAGCGCACTCACACTTTTCAAACGATCTGGGAAACGGGCCTGGGCATGGTACGGATGGCATAGTGTGAGTAGGCCCTAACATGTGTGTTTGTGAATGTTCAGTGAATCTACCTGCTCCTGGGATTCTGCAGGAGACTATGATTCCAGTTGTGGCCAATGATCGATGTAATGCTCTACTGGGTTCTGGAACTGTCACCAACAACATGATCTGTGCTGGTTTAACACAGGGAGGCAAAGACACCTGCCAGGTAATAAAAAAGCAGATCATTAATACACATTGCAACAATATACTTAAATCAAAATAACTTTATGGCCTTCACTTATAGGTAAAAATAAGATCCTAAAACCTAAAATCCAAACAAAAAAGTAACAAATTAATATTCATTCATTCATTTTCTTTTTAGCTTAGTCCCTTTATTAATCCAGGGTTGCCAAAGCGGAATGAACCCACCAACTTATCCAGCACGTTTTTGCGCAGCGGATGCCCTTCCAGCTCCATCCCATCTCTGGGAAACAAATGAATATTTAAGGTAAATTTATTTCAGGTTTCCTTCTTGTTTGTAGGGGGATTCTGGTGGTCCAATGGTGACTCGGCTGTGTACAGTGTGGGTTCAGGCTGGTATCACTAGCTGGGGTTATGGCTGTGCTGACCCCAACAGTCCTGGGGTTTACACTCGTGTGTCACAGTATCAGAGCTGGATCTCAAGCAAAATTAGTCTAAACAAGCCAGGATTCATTCTCTTCACCCCGCCAAGCTCATGCTCCTCTGCCAGCCGAAGTAAATCTCATTCTCAGACACCTACACAGTTTTTACTCATTTAGAAAGTATGTTTGTTTTATCCTTTTTTTTATTTCCAGTCTCAACTTCCTGTAGCGGGAGATGCAATGAGGTGTACAGCATACTCAATCGCTGCAACTGCAATGCTAACTGCGCTATAAAATGCTGCAAAGATTACAAACAGCGCTGTGCCAGTAAGTCCAAACACATCTATTTCAATAACAAAGAAATAAAATGTTGCATGTTACTGTTCTTGTATTTCATTTTTAATGAAGTATTAATTTTTGTTGTGTGTGTCTCTGCAGGTTGAAGTAACTCCATGGATTCAAAACAGGCTTGTAATCGCATTACTTGTGAATAAGACCTTTACATGCCTGTTCTTCCAGAAGACAGTACTTCAGTGCTGCTTTTGAAATGTTGCTCAGTCAGAATATCAGTGAAAACAGCATTTTAAAGAGCTGCTTCACTGTCTTCACTCAGGGGTGTAAATACATACTGATTATAATTAAGTTTATTAAATTAGTTGAGACTCTCTCTTTCTTGTGTAAGTCAACTTATTTAAGTCAACACTGGTTTTATCCAGGATCACCCCCTATACCCTCAAATACTACATTCTTTGAGCAAGCTGCCATTTCTAGTGATGTCAAAAGTTATGATGTTATGAAGTGCACTGAATCAATCCCACAAACCAGGTACACAGAAGATCCCCATAATGCAGTTTGCACCGAATGAATTTCCACGTCTGACCACAAGATGTCGTCTTATCGCAGTCCTATCAGTGTAAGTTTTGAAAAAAATAATAATTATTTAAGGTAACATTTGTATACAAGTCAGTAATTAAGTCTCTGTCTTGATTAAAAGTCTTGATTATGAACAATTACGGTAGGATGGTTAAGAGAATAAGATAACTGCATTGGTTGGCATAACAGTGGGTGCGCATTTTATTTTAAAAATTAATGTTTTAATGGAACTGTATTTGCTTTAACATGTATTTTAGGATTAGGATTTTTATTGTGTATGTTTTATGTTGTCTTGTGGGTGTTTGTACAGCAGATCCTTTTTTCCAAGAACAAATCTCTCTTGAGGGAGACAGTAAATTTGACCTTATTTCATTAATAATAGGCATCTGGCTAAGTGTAAAATAACTATCACAAGGCCAGAAAGTGTATAATATAATCCTTCTGAGGGATTTATCAACCAGCAAAGCACAAACAAAACGAGTGCTTGAATTTACTCACTCGTTTCATTCACTCCTTTAAGTGACTATATTAGTGGACTAGATAATAGTGAATGGTGGTATAGAACAATGGTCTCAAATTCAATTCCTTTAGGGCCACAACTCTGCACAGTTTAGCTCCAACCACCTCCAACTCTCACCTGCAGTCTCTAGTAGTCTTGAACACCTTGATTAGCTGGATCGGCTGTGTTTGATTAGGGCTGGAACAAAACTGCAGAACCGCAGCCCTTCAGGAATCCAGGAGTTTGATGGTATAGAAGGAGATTTCAGATACAGCAATTGTCTGTCTTTTGATGTATTTTGCAGTAATAAATCTTTCCAACAGAGGGCAGTGTGAGCACTCGCTCACATTTACTTCAGCTCTCTCCAATAGTGTCTGGCTGTAAGTCTCAGACCTTGAGTAATGCCAAGCACCTAAACATGACATGGCATAAAAAAACGAAATGTGATTGGTTGGTTAACCTGTCAGGCATATAGATTTGTGCACGATCCTTGAACATTTAAAGCAGCTTAATTTTTCGGTCCATGATCCGTCAGTCTGAGGTTTGGCTATGCGAGACTATCTGGCTGCAAACGTGCAGATGATGCATGCACATCCATCCATCCATCCACCCAGCCACCCATCCATCCATCCATCCATCCATCCATCCATCCAGCTTTTAAATAATATCTCATATAACAGTATCTTAAAATATCTTTGGCTCTGACTAACTGAAATTGGTTTTTCTGTTGTGCTTTGGATAAAATTAGCTAAATGTGTAAATATTGGTTTCATTTATGTAGATTTAGTTGTAAAGCATTGTTATCTGGAGCTTATCTTAAGCAAATACAGCTGTGCCATCATGATTTATTTTTGCACAGATTTAATTTCTGCAAACATGTTTAATCTTATTCTAAATTCAGTAGATCAGGACACTGTACTGATTTGCTTTATTTATTAACAAGCAAATATAGAATCATGTGAAACATATGAATATTTTGTTGTGCTTTGTGTAAAAACTTGGTTTTATGTCTAGGATAATGTACTGGTGCCATAAAACTTTGTTTGACAATTACGTTTCATTGTAGATGGTGGCTATTATAATTGTTTGAACAGTTTCAACTTGTATGAGTTGTTATATAAAAGATGAAACTGGAGAACAATTAGTGATTTACAGAGTGACAGAAATTCAATTTTCTACAGTAATTCCAGTCCTCTAATTTGCTTAGCTAAGCAACTCACAAAAACGGTATTAACATTTACCACAAGAACTGAATTAGAAAAGTTTTAAAAATCAGCAAGATGTTTGCTGACATTTCTTTCTTTCTTCATATCTATTGGCAAAATACCGGTACTGCGAAAAATTCTTCCAGGATTGTGCAACAGAGTTTGCCCACAATGACCTCACATCTAATCATGGATGTCTCAAACATGTGCACACATACCTTGTTAAAATAACAGCTATGAAGTAGTGGAGGCGTGGCTGCAGAGTCTATTTAATGAAACTGAGAAAAGAGACACAAATGTACACACACACACACAAATGTGCTAACTGAAAAAAGGAACAGAGGATAAGACAGAAAAAACAGTTCAAATAGTGGATGGACACCACCGCTTTTGCAAGGTAAGCCACTGACAGCCCCCAAAATGTATTTCTTTGTTGTGTTGTGTTCAACTGTGTTGTTGCTTCTCTTGTCCTCTTTACTTCAGTGTACAGATAAAGTGGAAAATGTGTTTTAATATGAAATTGATGTCTGACAAAAACTCCCACGATTATAACTACGCTTTATAAATGTTCATTGACCCATGAACATTTCCTGCTTGTTATCAAACTATTTCTTAACTGTAACAAGAGGCAATTCAATCATAACTTAATCTTAAAACAGCTATCATAACATTATTTATCAATATGTGGCTCTTTTTGGATTCCCGGAGGCTATAGAAATTAAAAATGTACAACAAAATGTACAAATGTTTTTGTTGACATCCCTCAAAATGGTCTATTATTAAAATGCTCTGACCAACAGTTTAAAGCAGTGGTTCACCTAAAAAGGAAAATATTTTAGCCTAAAAAAAAAAAAAAAAAAAAAAAAAATATATATATATATATATATATATATATATATATATATATATATGTTAATGTTTATCAAAATATTTTAATCTGGGTTCTGTAAAAGAAAGTCACAGGAGTTTGAATTTGGAACAATCTGAGATGTAGTACACGTCGCTTTGACATGCTACTTTAAGAAAGCTAAATTAAAGGAAAAAAATGAAAATTCTGTCATCATTTACTGACCATTCATTTGTTCAAAGCCTATTTGAATTTCTTTCTTTTGTTAAACACAAAGTAAGATATTTTGGAAAAGTCTGCTTGCTGTGAAACACTGACTATTCCAAAAAAAAAAAAAACTGAGTATTCCAAAAGTATTATCTTCTCCAATGGTAGCCAATGAGTGAAAGCAACCATTCTTACTACATAAAAAAATATAATGAATAATTAAACAAATAAATAACTTCTTTTGTGCTCACCATCATAAAAAAAAATCATTAAACTTTAAAACTACATTCAATGGAGAGCAAATTGTTGAGGTATTTTTTCTTTTTGGTGAACTATCCCTTTAAGTTCAATATAAATACTTTCAAAGACTTATCTTTTACCTCTTTGTAATTAGAAATTAATAAGGTTCTGTCTGCATCCTGAGGGGTTTTTCAGCTTTAAGGCTTTTTTAATGTAAAGATAGCGTAACGTACATAGCAGGGTTTTCTAGCAGGCCTATTCTAAAAAATCCAAACTTTAAAAACATATCTCATAATGTAAATATGTTGTCAGACTCGCAGAATAACTCTAATTTAAGTTCATTTTAGTCAGACAGATATGTGACGAGGCATAGATGATTATAAATAACGTTAGCATTATTAAAGTAAACGAGCCTGGGGGAATCCTGTCACGATATTCGGACCGTCGTGCAAGCAAGTTAATTGCTTCAAACAACAGTTTAATAAAACACATATTAAGTTAACGTTACTGGTACTTACGTTTTAAAATAAAAAAAGTCGTTTTTCTTTGAGAAACTGGTGTGTCCTCTGTCTCCGAGCACTAACGAGCTGTTGTTGCATGAATGCGTCTACAGGTGGTGTAACGGTCGAAAGTCAAAAGATGTTTTCAAATTTAGAGCGCGAAATTCAAACGCAGGACAACTTTCTTTCAAAATACAACAAAAAAATTAAACTCAGTAAACGTTTATTTAGGATTTTTTCATAATAAATGTATCTTTTAAAAAGCATTTCATTAATTATTTTATAGCATATCGTCATGGACAATGTGGTCTTTTTTGCAGAAATTAAGAATAAGTTGATTTAATGTGTGCAAATGGATTTAACAAAATCACACCATAAAACCGATTAACCTCAGAGCTCATTACATGTCTTTAAAGTTTCATCAGTTCTTGTTTAAAGATGAATACCTGATTGTGGAGAAAATAAATTACTTCCTGAAACTGTTGCCTTGTTATGAAATGTTGAACTTACTGTTTTTAAGTGGGCAGTATAAGCACCATATATTAGCCTAGGTGCTAAGAAAACAGGATGTGATATGTAGTGCCCTCAAATTAGTAACATTTTAAATAATACACATGACAGCATAGGATGTTTTGTTCTCACAAGAATACCAATCAAATGTGCCAATGGGGTATATGCACACAGACTTTTAATTTCAGTCAGCCAGCCCAAGGGCTTCCAGTGAATTGTCATCCCAAACAAAGTCACTGTGTTTAAGATTAGATTTCTATAATCTAGAGATATTCACTACCTAGCTGAGATCCTAGCTGAGTAGATACCAGACAAAACAAGAAGCACTGCATTAAATTATATATTTTTTAAATATGTAAGATAATTTTACCTCAGTGTTTTTAATGGAGTTTTTGTGCTAGCCTGTTGCTAATGACGGCGCCTGCGTTTAAACTATTTGGTCTCTTTTTATGCTTTAACAACCAACTGGATGCTTAATTAACTGATTATATTTTTATTGCAACATCAGAGCTGTAAAAGGAACCTTATAAAATTAAAAATAGTCACATTAACTTTTCACCAGAAGTTCCCCTGCTGAAAAATCCAGCTTAAACCAGCCTAGGCTGGTTGGCTGGTTTCAGCTGGTCGACCAGGCTGGTTTTAGAGGGGTTTTGGCCACGTCCAGGCTGATTTCCAGCCATTTCCAGCCTGGTCTTAGCTGGTCAGGCTGGGAGATGACCAGCTAAAACCAGCTTGACCAGCCTAGCCAAGCTGGGAGTCCAGCCAAAACCAGCTATATCCAGCTTA